TGTGGCCATGACTTATGCGGAAATTGAGACAGAAAGGTGAAATCTAACGCAATTACGTTATTGTTGAGTTAATACAAGTTCTAAAACTATAATAAAACTCGGGCGATAGCCAAAAAATTCGAAAATCATATAAAAAAAAAAAAAAATTTAAAAACTTTATCAATATTTAGTAGAAAAATTTATGCGAAATTTATCTATAAGTTTGATGGAGAAATTATAGGAATGCGAGCAATTAAGGACAATATACATACATACATACGTAACCACGATACAGTGGCTGTAAGGTGTATTTTTTTCTGTTTTATATATTCATTAACATGCAAACTATTAATTTATTAATTACAAAAAAAAAAAAAAAAAAATTATTGATGCCACAGCATAATTGCAAAGAGAAGAGAATGCATGTGTTTGTGCTTGTGTATTGGTATGAATAAAAGAATATATTTTCTATAGAAATTTAAGGGAAAATATTTTTTTCAATTCTTTTTAAAATGACGAGCTTTGCAAATGCACTAGTGCTGCTCTTTAAAACAAGAACAACAACGACAACAACGACAACAACGACAACAACGACGACAACAGCAACATCAATATGCATGAATCGCATTGCATGCCATTAGCAATTGAATGAATTGCTTGCTCTGCTCATGTTTTACTTCGCCATCGAATGAACGAAGTCTTCTACCCTTCATATCTGAAATCAGCGAAAACTAACGTTGGTTGGCCATGCCAGGCTTTTGTGTGTGTAATCTCTATCGCACAGGAGTCCACATATTTAAAGCTATGTCTATGTGTATGCTACTGTGTGACTAAGATTACACATATATATATATATATATATATTTGTATATATATGTGTGTGTGTGGATACATATATATATATATATTTATACTTTATATATATATATAATACATGTATACAAAGATTTGTGTATATGCATATGTGTGCAAGTATTACGCTGCTGCTATATAAAATTCCATATGCGACAGACAGATTAAAAGTGTCGCTGTCGCATTTAATAGAAAAAGCTACATGAAGGACATAGAGCTTGTATATGGATATATGTGGAAGTATGTATAGATATATAGAAGGCAACGCTTTTCTTTACTTTGCCACATATACTTGTATATGTGGAGATCATCATCATCATCATCATCATCATCATCATTATCATTATTCTCCTCCTCATCAAACCCTCTACAGTATGTAACAAAAAAAAAAAAAAAAAACAAAAAACAAAAAAAAAAAAGATAGCAAAACCCACCGAAATACGAGAGATAGAGAAGAAGAAGACGAAGAAAACCAAATTAAATTGAAACTAAAACATCAAATCGTGACTCTTATCTTCTATGCATTCAACTAAATACATATATTGTTTTTATTATTGTTGTTGTTATATTCATCTTGTGGTTATTCTGACAAAAAAAAGGCAAAAAAAAAAAATGTAAAAAGTAGAAAATTATTACATTGCATACTTAATTATCATTGCAGTGCTACTACTTACTATATCTAAGTATTTGGTTTGATTTTACGATCGTAATAAAATAATTTAATTTATGATAAATGTAGAATTATTCATGTCAAAAAGTTAAGTAAAATCGTACTTTCTCCCTTCAATCGGATTTATATTGTTAAGATTTATGTTCAATACGCATAAATAATGTGGAGTAAAGGAAAGTGACAGAATGTGTGTTCAACTTTTCAACTAAAAAAATGTTGTTTAACATATTGAATTCTTTTTTTCAATAAATTATTTAAAACGACATTCCATTGACATCGATATTTTCATCAAATAAATTCTTAAAACTAACAGAGTTTGTTAGTTTTAAAGACATCTCTCTTGCTCCTCGCAACTCTACTACTCAAATTTAAAATCACTTCTAAGGCAGAAGATGAAGAAGAAGAAGAAGAAGAGGAAGAACAAGAAGAAAGAGGAGGAACAATTTTCATATCAGACATAGAACAACATCAATACGATCTAAATTAAGTTGAATTAGGTGAGGATAGGAGCCCGAGTTATGGATAATCATTCCAAAGCCTGCTGGGGTATGGTAAGAAAGAATCCCTAGTCTTTAGCGACAATATCGAGGCACATCTTTTCTTCAATTATTAAGGAACTCATTGCCTTGGAGTCCATAGCAATTTCTCTGTGACGCGGGAAGAAGACTTCAAAGTATTGTGATCCAGGAGTCCATAGCAGTGGGAAAACACAATAAAATATTTCCCTCCCTAGTCCTTTAAATCTGTTCGAGTTAAAGAGTCGACTTTGCTTTATTTTATTACTGTCTCAACTTTTGTATGAGTAGGAAAGTAAAGGATAACGATAAATACCTTGCCCTATGAACACACTTGAGTTTTACACACACTACCGAAAGTCGGAGGCATTTTCAATTCAATATAATTTTTAACACGAAATTGGTAAAAACTATGCCCATGGCAAAATTTAATTTTTTTTTGCTTTTTGTTTTTTTAGTATTTTTTTTCTTTTTGTAGTTATTGTTAAGATGAAAGAGTCGAAGAGAGTGTGATGTGATTTGAGTTGCGACCACAGCTGCGAATTTCTTTTCCTTACTTATTGTTGCTAAAGCTGAGAACTGAGCTCAGAGGGCTTTGTAAAAAATGCCATTTTTTTTAATTTTTAAAAATTATTTCTAAAGTGCTGCCAAACCATATAAAAACATGACTTCAAATATTGTATTTTAGAACGCCGTACATTGCTTATATGAATACCGTTTTTCACACAATAGTTCGGTCAGCTCGCTTATACTACTTGTTCTTCATGGTAACGATTGAAGATTCTATCCCGTAATTGATTAAAAATTCTATCCCTTTCAATACAGTTTAATAGAGAATTCTTTGCCTTAAAAGCCTTTGACAATTCTAATGTAGCCCCATAGAAGGATTAAAAAGAATACGGTTGTGGCTGAATCATTTCTAACCATAAGTTTATCTTAAAGCAAAAGATATGAATTATCAATATTCTATAATATTGGACGAGCGATAATGAGTGATTTTTTCCTTTGATCCTTATAGAGTTTCTTCAAGAGGGTCTCTATAGAATGTACAGGCAAATATATACAGCGTTAGTCAGGCCAACATTGTCTATGTCGGTTGTCTATGGTTGCCATATCGAGCTGATTGAATCCGTGCGAAAAAGTTTTTCAGTATCCGCCTTACGAGGTTTAGGATGAGAACCTGACCGCAGTCTTTCTCCCTCTAAACATAGATTAAAGTTAATTACTTTTCCCGTGTTAGGGACAAAGACATGTTTGTCTTGGTATTCTTTTCTTTATTAACTTAATAAGGGGTGATATTTGATGCCCCGAAATTGCTAAGCAATAGTGCTTTTAATGTTCTCAATATTTATTTATTTATTTATTCAGTATTATGTGCCCATGCGGCTATCGCATTGCAGGACAACGTCTTATGAACTTCATAATCTACTTCGTTCCCCCCGTTGCCGAAGGTGCAATGATATCTGGATTTTATTTGAAAGGGTAAAAAATCGCTTGTTAAGACACTAATATCTTATCTTGGCTTTTATACTGGGTATCATTGCACCTGAGGTAAATTGTTTGTTATTTAAGCAGATTATATTTAGAATCCAAATTATTATTGGATATATATTGTTGTTAATTTTCTATTAGTGTTCATTTACATTTTTTGCAAGCTTATGTTGCTTGTCATTTTATATTTGTAGCAAACACTAAATAAATAAATAAATAAATTTGAGACATTTTCAACACCAACCTGGGCCTATGAAATGGAATGGAACGGGTGTAGGCCGTGTCCTAATTTTTCCGGCGGAGAGAGTGTTTACCATACTATACTATACAGGCAAACACAACAAACTGGTAAACAGACAAATACATGAAAAGACATATAGACAGACGCAGGGATAAACATACATGTTATTGATACATAGACATATGGACGGATAGACGGATGTGCTTACGTAAAGACGTAAATCGATCGAGAATTTGATAGTGATCAAGAAGATATATTTGTAGGATCTTTGAAGTTTCTTTCTGTGTGATGGAAAGATACACCCATAATGTTCGGCAGTGGGTGTAAAAAATTTGGTGAAATGGTATTGTTGTTGTTGTTGACAATAAAAAAATTATTTCAAATTCAAAAAGTCGTTGACTTTAATACTTAAGCGTAAAGGACAACTCAATTTAGAAAGTTATATATAAGAGTCATACACATGTGTGCTTACCTGTATGCATTACGTGTTCATTTTCATCTGTATGTAAATCTGTAATTCACTTTCGCTTGTACTTGATCTGAAACCTTAAAAACACTTTCAAACACACATTCACGCACAAACGTTAACGTTATAATAACGTTGGGGTCGCGTTAATATTAATCTAATGTAAGCACTTGTGTATACTTGAAACTGTGTTAGTGTTTTAAGATGATGATGATACATCCCTCTGATGTTTCGCCTTTTGATAAGCATGTGCAAATAATAACAACAAGAAGAACGACAGTACAAGACGCCTCATGAGAGCGCCTTAATAGTCCCAAACGAACAGTAATACAATCGTAAAGGTTTATATGCATATATATATATATATATATATATATATATATATACATCATTTTTACATATTCTCATTTGCAAAAAGAAGGCTGAAAATGACTGGGTTGCTTTTCTGCTGAGAGATTGGTGTGATGATGTTTTCATTGAGAAAAATCATGAGCCCGCCATTAACAAGTTTTCCTCTACTTTGTTACTGTATGGGTGCTTTTTTCACAATGTATACAAAGACATAAATATGTTGTGTATGCTATTTTTCCCGTTTTCTTTTTTTCTTTCCGTTTTTCGCTTTTACATATCTCTATCTTTTTGTATTCATGCGATATTATGACTTATTTAAGTTGTTGTTGTCGACAATGCAGCTGTTGTTGTCGTCGTTGTGGTTATTGTTGTTGTTGTTGTTATTGTTGTTGTTAGTGTTTTTATTTGTAAATAAAAAAATTTTGTTACACTTACCCGTTGGCTGCTGCTGCTGCTGTTGTGTATTCATTGAGTTTTGTGGTTTGACTTTGGAGCACATGGAAAACATGATGGCAGCTTGCTTTACTGTTTTTCTTAAGTTTCTCTCTTACTTTATGAAAATGAAGCTTGAAAGTTTTTTTTTTTTTTGCTTGCTTTACCTAATGAGTTTTAAGTGTCTAAGCGTAAAGTGTCTGTCGCGGCTGCTTTTTCGTTTACAGAGATTTAGACAATTTCGTATAATTTTCAGAGTGTGAGTCAGGAAGGATGATGCGATGATTACAAGTTTCTACTTTTTTTTTTTTTTTTGGTTTTCCTGGTTTTTTTTTTTTTTTTTTTTTTAACGTTGAAGATTTAAATAAGGTAGGCAAGATCTATACTTTTTTTTTTTTTTTTTTTTTTTTTTTTTTTTTTTTTGTAAAAGTTCTCATGCACGGGTGAGTATGAATGAATATAAGAATGTACGCATACAAGTCATAAAAGTAAAATTTTCAAATATTTGCAAATTTTTTGTAGTATAGTTTTGGGCTTGGGAATATTAAAGTTTACTTTTCGGATCTTTGATGATTTAGAAAATCAAAATTCAATTGATTATAATTTAAGAAAAAAAATTATATCGCTTTTAATTAATTCTGCTAATGATGGGAAATGTTTTTCATCGTCTTTTTTTTTTTTTTTTTTTTTTTTTTTATATGAAAGTTTTACTGCAAATTTATGGCCTTTTGTTAGACACTTAATTTCTTATCCTTCCTGAGTTTTGGTTTCTACTTGGCTGTTATATTTTTAAAAAATTGTAACGTCTCGCTTTTAAACTTAAGAGAGTTAAGTGCCTTATAAAATGTAATGAATTGTTCGTGTCTCAAGAGTAAAGATAAAGGATAGTTGGCACAAGACTAGTAAAGCAAAGTTTTAATTGATTTTCTTTTAATAAAATCTTCTATGCTATAGTTAAAGTTTGTCACTCGTCACATGTAAATAAAAATGATTTGTTTTTTTTTTGTGTTTTTCGTTCTTTTCTTCTGTTTTTGTTTTTATAATTCGAATAAAATTTTTTTTTTTAATTTCTCTATAAACTCAATTTTTACAATGATTTAATAAAATTTTTGTTTTCAAGTCTACTGGGTGTTGGTTGGTTGTTTCTGTGTTTGTTGTCTTTAATTGGAGAGAGATTAAAAACTCTTTTAAGTTTATTGTTCTAATATTTTATTGTAGTAAACGATATTGGACACTTGAAAATTAAATTGTTGATTTTAATAGAAAATTTATTCGCAAAAATTCTATTTAGCGGGTTGTAGGTTATAAAGAAAGAATTTTTCGGTTTTCAGTTATAATTTTAAGTTTAATTTATACAAATTCAAATTATTTTGTTTTATTATATCTTTCTTTATACATATACATATATATTTATTTATTTATTTATTTAAAAAGCAATATTGCGTTCCGCACGTTTGGCACACCTCAGTATAAGTTAACAGCCAAGACTCAACTGATGACTGCTGTTAGATTGTCAGACTAACTGAGCTCAGTAGTGATGGTGTCTGCACTCCTACTATTACTGAAAGCAGCAGCAACAGTAGTTTCACTTTCAACAACAACGGCTGCCTGACGCGGACTGAGCAGTTAAGCTTAACTAAAACGAAATGTTTAGCAGCTGATTGGGAAGGGAACGTAACCTTAGTCAAATAAGTTGAAAATTGCGAATATCTTCTCCAATAAGTTTTAAAGGTTTATCTAGAAATAATAGAAAAACCTAAATGACTAAGAAAGTCTGTCTGCGAGTATCTTCTCTAACATAGTTTAGGGCTCTTTTATATCAAAATAATACGAAAAAATTATTGAAGCATAAGATTGGCTGCTAATGGTGTTTAGTGTTGCCTCGATTTAATTTTCCTTTGGAAAGGAATCAAAATTGGATCGCTTCTCTAAATTCAGTGTTGTTGATAACAAGAAAGAAATCGCTCAAGCTTCTGGGGAATACTTATTTACAATCTGATGGTAACAAGAAGAGAACTGCCAAACTTTACTAGATTGAAAGCTTCTCTCCATCCGTCCATCCGTCCACTTTATATAGCATTTGCACGATCGCCATCTCGTCGTAATAAATTTGAATTATTTGAAAATTGTTCAGCTAGTAAAGTAGAAGTCAAACGTTTACAGGAAAATAGTGGACGAATGTAAAGAGTAAACCCATTAATACATATATGTGTATAGTATTATATGATTCTCGTTAGGTGTTGATGCTAAACTGCGGAAGCAAAACAAAAACAACAATAATGACATCCTTAAAATCATCCAGTGTCAACCTGCATACACATACATACACGCACACGCACACACGCTCATACTGATAATAAAACTTTTAAGGCTTTTTGTTTTGCATAACGTGCCAACAACAGACTAACTAAGGCGTCCTTGAACGGCGCTGTTGTCAAGCAGGTTAACGACGCAGTCGCTGACAGTTTGCTCTTGCTGTAGTCCCTGTGAACATAATCCGATGCGTACGTTACGTGCGACAGCACAGCAGCGCTGCTTTGGCGGCAACGACCCGAAAACATATGTGGCAAGAAAGACAGACAATTTTTTATACATACATATATAGATATATATATATATATATATATATATATATATATACAACTTGGCCATCATATTGTTGTCTTATTGACTTTGCCTACCGCCTCATTGCATTTTATAAAAATCTTAATTTCTCTCTCTTTTTCTCTCTCTCTTTTTCTCTCTCTCTTAGCATATATTTCTCTCTTCCTCCCTCGCTTTCTCTCAAATATATGCAATTGTTGTTGTTAATTGTTCACCAAATCTCTTCAAAGCTTCTCTTGTGTTCACAAAGATTTCAGTTATACTCATATTGTTCATATCCTCCAAAGTAGTTTTTGTCACTTGTATCGTATATCGTTGCCTTGCGTTAGAGTTATTACTTCGTTGCCTGAATGTCCTAAAAAAATAGAAGCTTTTAAGGTTATATTACTCTTATTTTTTTTATTTTATTTTATTTTATTTTATTTTTTTTTTTTTTTGTTATAGGAAACCACGAGAAAAGCTTCAGTCCTTTGTCTGGGTATTGCAGATGATATTGTTGTTCTTGATTGTTATTCTTTTTTCTTATTCAATGTTTATCGTTTTCATACAAGATTTCTTTTCTCCGTATAATTTTTTATGATTTCTCTTTTATATATATATATATATATGTATATGTATGTATATTCCATTCGGTTAATTGATTCTTTATGTACGGTGTGTGTGGTCAATGAAATATTTAATATAATAAATGTTATTGGTCATGCAAATATAAATCCGACTACCAAATACTCCGATGCTTATATCCCACGATCTGTTTATAGTTATAACAAAATTTCCACTGCATTTGGGTAAAACACCAATAATGTCCTGTAGTTCTGCAGTTTATTTCCTTTTTTTTTTTTTACACTTCTCTTAGTGGATGTTGTTAGTGTTTTTGCTTCTCTAGTTACGTTCATTCATTTACAAATATGTTTCACAACTCTTTACAATATATCCCTGCAGTTAGCTACGACACATGCTCTGGGAACATTAATCCTAATAATAATAGCACTAAAGAAGTTAGGTAACGTATTTTCAAATCAATCGAAACATCTTTACGAACATAACAGACAACTACATTGATCGGAATTATAAGCCATTGTGAATTTACTGCAACTTATTTTGGGGAGTGATTAATAAAAATAATTCGCTAATTGCTCCAATGATACTAAACTATTTCCCTTTATTGCTATCACAAATAACTTCATTTTCCAGCTACTTTTTCATTTTGTAATTTGGATTCAATTCCCCCTAATTTCTGTCCTAAAGTTTTCATTACAATTACTTATCATCACATTGTAGATAAACTTTCCTCATTAATTAGAGGAAAGATCTCTTACTCATTATTAGCTTTGAAAAAGTGCTTCATTCGAAGCATACCACAGTTGTTTTAATGAAAGATTTGAACAATTTCTGCCGAAAAAATATCACAACATAAGTATGTTGCATATATATATATCGAAAAGGGATTTATCATGAATTTATTACTAAAGTTGTTGAATAATAATTTTTTAAATTTATGATTAATGATATTTGCCATCGTTGTACCATGTTTCTGTTAAATTTTTGAAACAATCGTTCTCTCAACAATCTGGGGATAATGTGATAATTTTATGTGAATATAGTCTCGTTTATTACATTTCGGCGCACATACAAAAGCAAAAGTGCAAATTGATACAAGGAAAGGGAAGAGGAGTTTTCAAGAAATTCTTCAAATAGTTGCATTTATTGCGGAATGATTGCTGGCGTCGTAAAACCAATCACCTTGATTTCACATTCTTTTTATAAGTTTTCCCTCCCAGTTTCATTTGTTCTAATGGATCATATTGATAAGTCTTCGCAGTTTTTTCGGCGGGTTAGAGTTCTTTACTGTTCCAAACTGTCATATAGTTGATGCTTAGTACCTCCGCTATCAGGGCTTGCATGCCGGTCTTGCTCCACCAATTGCAAAATTTCATTCGACTTTTCCATTAGGTGCGAGGTGCATCTTTGACATTGAAATTTGCGGAACGGTATCGAGCAAACTATTACTGGGTCCTTCGCTCACTTGTTCAGCATGCTCACCGTACACTTCATGAATTTTGTTTTCCAACTTTTCTATTCTCTTTATAGTAAAAAACCGGTCACATGGCGTATTTTTTCAAATATTTCTCTCATTTTCAAATCAATGTAACTTTTTACACGAGCAGAGAATTTGAAAACTATCTTTACAAAAAATGTAAACTGAAATGTCGACTTTTAAGCACATGTTCGTTTGAGACAACCAGAGGAATTTTGACCCATATATAGGCATCAATACCATCTCGCGGAAAAAAACCGCAAAGACTTTTTATATCAACCACTATGTTCTAGATCGAAAAATTCGTCTTATACACCTATAGGGTAATAACTTTGTTAAATAATAAGCAATTTCGAATTTTCGGAACACCTGTTACTGCTCTACTATTGCGTGCGTCAGTTTAATCTCTTTCAGTAAGGCAAGTAATATTCGAAATTTATTTATAGGAAAAGGCGTTGACGCTCGATTTGCGAACGTTTTGTAAATAACTATTTTTACGCGTCAACTTGACGAATAACTTTTGTGAATATGTCACTGTCGCGATAATGAAGATTGAAAGCCAAAATTTTGCCCAAACAATTCCCTAATCGATTAGGAATATATGGTCAGAAAATGGACGTGATCTGGTCACATAGACTGTAGGAAAAACTAAAGCTACGAAACCCATGGACAATTTTCTTA